AATTCGCCCCCCAAATTATATGCCCAATTGGGCATGAAATATATATGCCCAAAATGCCGGGCATTTATGCCTAGGCATATGCCCAGTGGGCATAATGCCTAGTAGGCATTTTCAACCGTACTCTCTATGAGATGAGGCTTTCATTGATTTAATTAACGATAAATTATTTTTTGTAAATTATGTTTTATGTATTTAAGATGAAAAAGTCATTTAATTTTACAGATAATTAATATTCATTTAATATTTATTGATGACTGACTATACAATGTAGTGATTGTAACTTTAATACCATGTATAGTAATATTAATACTAGGGTTGGTAAAAATACAAAGCTTGTATTATAAAGTTGTATTATTCCTTGTACAATACAAAATGTAAATCGATAGTGTACTTCAAAAATGGTTAATTATTAGTTTAAAACTAATTATTATTTAAATCGTTGTATATTTAGATTAAAATCAATTATTGAAGAATATTTTTCAAGCATATTCTCTCCACCATTAATTTTCTTATAATCGGGTCTATTTGTCTACATTTTTAAAATAAAATTTATAAATTTACAAACAATTATTTTGTATTTGAATATAAAATAATTTATGAAAAATTATTTTTAAAATATTCTGCCATGAACACCGGTAATTAGTGAGAATAATATAATTAAAAAATTTAATTTTGATTTATAAATTATGTTAATTTTCCCCCCATAGGAAGTAATAATACATGATTAATACAAGGATTTTTGTATTATGCATTGTACAAAAATTTTGTTATATTTTACCAACCTTGATTAATGCCGGTGCCTTATTCTCATTATTCCCATCATTTGTCATAATCTCTCGCTTATATTTATCATTATTGCATAATATCTTTAATTAAAATTTTGCTTATAATATCACCTCAAATGTTATGTTATTATATGACAACTTAAATCTTTGATCATTAATTACGAACAATTAATATACCATATACATTGTATTGACTATAATGAACAGGGAATTGCATTTAACTATAGTAACTATTTTTAGCGGTTAATAGTAATACTATGCTATTATAGTATTACTCCTAGACTCGGGATGTGAACTAATCATGTATTGGGGGTAAGTTTACCGAAAGTTTATTTTAACTATATTTAACTATTTGAGGCGTTCGTAACTATTTGAACGTTTATTACCTTATACGTAATTATTTGCCACATTTTTCAAGTTTTTTGGTATATTTTAGTATAAAACACAAAGAAAATCACAACTTAATTTACATTTGTTAGCTAGCAAAAAATTTAAATAGAGTAAACTATGATAAATGTATAGGTTATTATAAATAGTCAGTTTTATGTATTCAGGCTTTTGACAAAAATAATTAACAATATTCTTAAAAACGTTAAATTTAATAAAATACAAGTGATTTAACTTAAAACCAGTTATATTTAATGTATTAAAGAGTGAAACTGACATTAAATGTCAAATTTTGGTAACATTTTATATAATTTTTAAGTCTATTTTGTCAAATTATAAGTAACTATTAGGGTTGTTTTTCATAACTATTATACTGTAACAAATAATAATTATAGTGACTATTAGGGGTCTTATATTTAACTTTAATGCAATTCTCTGTATATTACCATTACCAGGTACTGTATTAGCGTAATAATTTAGTAAACATATTGTTGAATGTACAGATCTCAAACTTGTTTTATTTATATTAAGTTTAATTATACAATACATACAATATTAAAAGTTAAATACTATATAACAATAATTGACTATTTATAAATCATTGCGGAATCATTGAGTCGTTTTCGCATTTTATTCTTACGATTCAATTTACTCATACGATATAACTCTTCGGCTTCGATCTCCTCTTCGGTTTTGAAGCAATCTTTAGAAATATTTCGTTGAAATGCTTTCTGCCAACCGATGCCATCACTCATATCATTGAGAATACGGAGCACAACACTAGAACTCAAGTCTTTGGAGCCTTTACTCCACAAACAGTACCGATCTATTGGTAGTCTTCTAATTACAATCCTTTCATTCCGTGACTTAACTCGAGTCACATCTGTTCGAGTATCCGAGTATTCGTCGCCGAAACCTATTATATATGTTTTGTTTGACTCGTACTCCAGATCTTTGCCCGCTTTGGGCGACAAATATACCAAATCTTTTCTGTCAAACAGATCTAAGTATGACTTTGGGGTAAATGCGGACAAAAAGTGCGGATAGTTTGCCACCAATTGGTTGTCTTGAACCGCATCCCAAACCATACTTTTATAGTCAATGTTTGCAAAATGCAAATTAAAGGGTTGAGAAAATGAGTACCGATTTGTCTGATAGGCGTTCACTAATTGTCCCAATTTCTTGACGCAATTCGTTTGACTCATCTGTGGATCACAACTCAAATCAAACACAATATTTTGGCCAAAAAGGGCTGCGCTTTGCAACCGATGGACAGAATATCGGCGTATATTTGCCGGCGATATTCTGGCGAAGAGACTGTTGCGCCACAAACCTAGCCATCGATGCATATAAAGACAATACAAGAGATTAATACATAACAATCGACAACACATGCCGTCTATTCATACCGTAAGCAATGTCTCCGTTATCATCGAAAAGACCGGTCCGTTTGTCCCCCCTATGGATCCACTTATCACTCAATTCCTTCTCTTTCAATGTCTTGCGAATAGCTCTCAATCTCTTTTTGTGAATCGATTGGATCTCCTTCTGGTACAGAAAGTTCATATACCTGTTCCGTCGGCCGGCGCTCTTCAGAGCTATCAGTTTTCTCATATCATTGAGTGTCAAACTAGAGGGCACTTCTTGTGTCTCATACTTCGCGTATTCATACGAAGACAATATCATTTCGATGTCATTCATCTGATCCGCGGTTTTGGCCAAACATTCAAACTGTTTGACCGACAGATCGGCGAAATGTCTCTCAACTTCTTCGGCATTGTCTTCGACCACCTCTTTGTTATGATCACCCGTTTGTGACCACAACTGACGTCCCGTTGAGAACCAATGTCTTGAGATGTGATGTCTTGTTATAAATGACCACAAATTGTTTGAATTGAATAATGAATTCATGTTTTCTTTGCAAACATTTCTCACATGTCTTTCCAATGCATTATAAATTCATGTGTTTTTATGTCTAATAAATAACGTCTGAATTTGTAGTAATTTTTACAAAATTTTGCGAAACTTTTATTCTTGAAGTAATACTGTATTTAAGACTTTGTTTAAGAATTAATTTAATTGTTATAAGTAATATCATATGATAAACATTTGTATTAGTAAATTATGATCATACAACAACTGATCAGGTTCAATTTTAGTAATGTAATTGGTTCCAATGTAGTTCCCTAATTACAATATTACTGTATTTGTGAGATATTTCTTATTTATATAATTTCATTAAATATATCAATAAATCAATTCTTTACCTACGAATCTACTGAATATAAATGTGTGTTTTCATAAATTTCTTATAAATTGTAAAATTTATTTTTTATATCCAAATACTGGAGTGAAATGAAAAATAAATGTCAAACAATGATAATAATGCGAAATATGATAGAAATAAATGTATGGATGACTACATAATTATTGATTATTTGGTCGTTTGGTATTCTTTGGGGTCGTCTAAAGAGGCACTCATTAAATGCTAACAACTCTGAGAACTCTGAGAACTATATTATTAAATAATTTAGAGAAACAACTAATAAATTGTAATAATTTTGATATTAATGGTCTCATTAAAGACAAAGGAATGTTTCGATAAAGTAATCAATTATTGCTAGACTTTGTTATTAAGAAAACAAGATTTCATATAAGAAACTAACTGTAATATAACGATAATTTTTGTTTTACTCGTTAGACAATGTATTTGAAGGCTTAGCCGATAGAAGAGTGAAATTATTCATATACTGTATATATCTATATGTATAAATCCAGTTTATATATACTGTAGTGTAAATCCCATTTCTTCCATATATTGGATGCCATACCTCAAGGTTTGTTCGTATCATTGCTTTTAATTATATAAAAAGCACTCGGAAAAGGACTGGTAGGCAAACTGTCACTGGTGTTACCAAATGTCAATTTATGTCACTATTT